CGTGTGCAAAGGTCCACGACAATGGACGCACCACACGCTGCCCGCTCAGTCGGAACGGCCTCTGGACGGAACCTCCGCCGCGCTGAGCCCCTTCCCGCACCACGCCGTCGTCACGCCCCCAGCCACACGTCGTCGTCGTCGTCGCAGCAGTCATTCGAATTTCGAATTTCAAATGCCCACGCCCTTGGGGTTAAATTTCTGTTCGCATCGCCCACCGAATGTCGTTTCCCGCCTCGCGTCGCTGGACCACGCCGCCTCCACACGGACAAAAGAGGTTGGACCAAGGACGACCGACCACGCGGCCGCTAATTTGCGTATGGAAACAGCCGTGGGTGAGCCACAAGGAAACATCCTCGGGGGAGGTCCCCAAGGATGAGTGGAACGACGCCGCAAATTTCCCTAAAAAAACACAAGGACATTTCCTTGTGGCTCAAGGAACTCGCAAGGAGCGTCTAACAAGGCCCTCAGTGCAACCAAGCACCTACTCGCAAAACTTGGCGGATGACAAGCAGTGCGACCAGGCCCTAAATCCGCAAAATCCTAAAAAAATAGTGTCGAGGGTAGTCACACCCAACTCATATTTTCCCAAACACCTTATTTGGGGTACCTGTGGAGCCGCGAGGGGAGGAAATTTGTGGTAACCTCTGGAGCTCACCCCAAATTCCTTATTCTACTTCGAAGGCTTAGAATATAATAGAAGTAGGTAGTGGAGGTGAATTGAAAGAATTTGGAAGAGGTGAAATATCACGAACTTAAAAAATAAAAATAAAAAAATCCTTATTCTTTTTTTGAAGTAGGATGTGAAACTGGAGAGAACATCCCGTGAGGGAAAAAGGGTCTGCTCGGTGTGACTGGCTACCTCCGAAGTGTGAGCTGCCTCGACTGTGAAATGGGAGATTTGCTGACACGGTGTGACTGGAGCCACCCCTATATCCCCAAATCGGGCCTCACTATTTTTTAAGCCACCAGTACCTCGCTCAGCTATCGGCCGCGGGCCTTCCCGTATGCACGCCGCAGCCTTAGGGGGATCGACCAAGTGAACTGCTCTTCGAGCCGTAAGGTTGCCACCGCATACTTCGAAAGATGTTGTGGCCAAGGAAAGGTACCCTCAGGCGCGTTAGCGTCTATAAATTCTCAATGTCGAGCTACCATTGGTATTGTTTCAAATGAGAATCATGGTAAGCGTAATTTTAGGAAAGCTCGAAATTTGAATGACTGTGGCGATGACGACAACGACGTGTGGCTGGCGGCCTCGAGGACGACGTTCTGCGGAAAGGGGCTCAGCGACAGCGGAGGTTCCTTCCGGAGGCTGTTGCTAGTGCGCGGGCAACGTGTGGTGCGTCCATCGCCGTGCACCTCTACACACGTCGACTGCGCCTTGCTCGTCGTTTCTGTGCGCGGGAGTGAAAGCAGAGAAAAGGGGCCACCTTTCGACGGCAGCGGACAGACGAAACCGTGTCCACGTCGCGGCTATGGAGGGCGGCGCAGAGGGTAGACGTGATGTGTTGACGCCTCGTGAGCTGCAGGCCGTGGCGGCGGCCGTGTCCACGATCGTTCTTCGATGTCRGCAGGAGAGGGCACTGGGGYGACTGAAGGAGCAGTTGCACGCACGTAGACGGAGGACATTGACGCAAGCTCCGGACGATGGGGCCGAATACGTGGCGATGTCGGAGGCTGTTGTTGAGCTGTGCTACGCGTTGGGTTCCGGAGTGATTCCTCGTGCGATGCCGCGTTGGTGGGTGAAGCGCAGGACAGGAGGCACGTGGGAAGACCTCAGGCAATGCGACGACGCGACAGACGACTACTTTCGGGACAAGCTACGAATGTCGTCGCGAGTGTTCCGGGAAATCGCGGAGGCGTGTGCGCCTCATTTTCAGCGGCGGGTCACGTTCTACAGGGAGCCTTTGCAGCCAGACCAGATTGTGGCGTACGCATTGTACAGGTGGGCTTCAGGGGAAACGTACGAGAGCAGCACGTACAACTTTGGGATTGGACGAGCTTCTGGGCTGATTGTCGTCCGCGACGTGACTGCCACGCTGCTAAGGGTGTTTGGAGAGAAGATTGCGTGGCCGACAGGGGTTCGTAAACTCGTCGTTCAGCGGGCGTTTGTTGATAAAGGGTTCCCCAACTGCCACGGCTGCATTGATTGTACTCACATCTAGGTCGACAAGCCGGCGAACGCTCCGAGCGAAAACCATTACGATTGTACGACAGGAAGCGCCGTTTCTCCATCGTCGCGCAGGCTGTCGTCGACCTGGACTTGCGTGTGCTCGACGTGCACATGGGATACCCAGGTAGCTGCCACGACATCAGGGTGCTGCACTTGTCCAGCCTGTCGCTGCGCAYGGAGGAGRGGTCGTTGTTYCGTGGTCCCCCCGTGACACTGCCGTTCGRTGTGAAGACGAACGGGTRCGTTCTGGCGGACAATGGCTACCCCCCTTCGGAATGGATGGTCRTCCCGTACGGAGGCATCAATCAGCACGCCGACGAGGAGAGGTTTGACAACAAGCAGAAGGTGGCRAGGGGAGCGGTGGAGAGGGCGTTCGGCAGGCTGAAGGGCATGTGGCGGCTGTTTCTGCGGACACATAAGACAAACCTGGACACGCTCCCGCAACAGTYCACCGCCGTATGCATACTGCACAACATACTGATCGACGCAGGAATCCCCTTTGACGAGAATCTGCTATGGGAGGTCGATGCTAATGGTGTGCGACGTCGAGTGGAAGTGCATTCACTSYAGCAATGGCCGAAGGGCAGATTCRTTGTTYYGTCCTGCCTTGATTGGGTYGCTAGCGTCTGTCCCCCGTCRGGGTTGGTGGTTTGCATGRAGGGTCRTGTTTTYYATGGTGGACGACAGCGCGTGGTAGTGCATTCGTTGTAACAATGRCCRGAGGGCAGATTCGTTGTTCCATCTAGCCTTGATTGGGTAGCTAGGTTATGTCCTGCATTTGGGGTCGGTAGTTTGCATCGAGGGTCGTGGTTCGTTGTCGTCGTGATTCGTGGATGTGCGTCGCCATCCATTTTCTTGATTTCTGTGATTGGCGTTGAAGTTGTGTAGTGTGAAYACGACGCACTGCRGGTGGGAAGTGCGCCTTTTTTGGCACAGCGGGCGCAGTTTAGTAGACGGAGCACTGTTCGTCTTTCGGGTGGGGCTGAAACTTGTTCCCCACCTGCCTTCGATTTTGAATTCTCCGCTATGAATTGTTGAACGATTTCGCGAATCCCTTTGAAAGTTTCTTTCCTCGATTTTCAGTATGCGTTGGCATTGTGTGTGTGCCTATTTCATTGCGTCGATATTGTGTGTTGCTATTTCATTGCGTTGATGCAGTGTGCCATTGCATGTTCAATACATGTTTTGTCGGACATCTTATGCTATATGGTGCGCTGCGCTTTGACTTCCTGCAAGTGTTGAACTGAAACACAAACACGTCTTTTGTTTGGCATTGGGATAACTCGTGAAAA